CAATGCGATACCAAGAGATAGGGTAAAATATATTCAAAATATTGGGGTTGTTGTCACTATTAATCATGCGGAAGATGGTGGATTCAATTACTATTTTTAAAATCTTCTCAGTAAAGTTAAATGTGCAATATAACAAGTTCCCCAAAATTCTGTGTTCCAATACTAGACGAGATAAATTTAACTTATCTACTCCTCAACCGCGAACCAGTATCAGGGTCAGGTTTTTCACAGCCGGGGCTTTGGCTTATTTTCTCGAAACTTCTCAGAAAGTTGTTTTACCCAGAAGTGTAGTTCAATTCGATCAGATCTTGCATCGTTAAGTTGAATAAGAGGCAAAAGTCTATGGATCTATCATTCTTCACTCAATTAAACATTATTTTCTTCTATTTGTTCATTTTTACTACCTCAATACCGTCCGTTCTGATTTCGGTAGATTTTCAGTAGATCTGCTTGGATTACCGATTATCTTTTGTTGTCTAGGCGACATTTATTTCATATGCGTGTTTATTTTCATTCAATGCGCTACACATGCAATAGAGTTTCAGAGTTCCGAATATAAAGGTTCTAGAAAGTGGAAAAAATAAGGATTCGTAGAACATACAGCAGAAATGGCTTGGAAAAGATACAATTGCTTGATTGCAAAAATAAAGCAAAAATTGTTTGCTTAAAATATTGGCTACAGCACGTAAAAAGAGCCTTCCATTGAGACAGCACGCATCCAAAACACTGAGACCTTTATGTCATATCCCTCTAATACTGTTGCATTTTATCGTTAATTGTTATCTTGCTGTTAATCCTTTGTTATGTCATTGTAGCTGTTTTCTCTGATCAGGAAAGCCACAACTAGGTTGTGGCTTCTACAGGGCCTTTAAACTCGGCTACTCATGGGAGCGGTTTACAATGGGGACGACTGTTGAGCCTTTCTTGCTCATTATCGAGGCCGTTTTTCGACCTGACAGTACCATATATCGCTAGTCAGGAGCAACATATTGATACTAAAAAGAAATCTCAGAAATCATTCCAATACATAATTAATTGTGCCTTCAACAACATTAAGCAGTCTGGCACACCTTTCATTGAATACATGATGAATAAGTGGGGAAGCAGTCTGAGTTTCACCTACTCTATTTCAATTCTTTAATTTGTCAAAAAGAAATTAGTAACAAGCTTTGATTGACTGAATTGGGAGGGTAACGTTAGTTGGCCATTAGTGATGCTGAAGGCCTTTCCCTCCTGTATTTAGATAGCACTTATCGTATGAAATCCATGTAGACGTATCTTCCGATAAGGACTGTGATCTTGTTACAGTATGTTCAGCAGTAGGTCTTCACTGTAGAGAAGGCATTTTTTGAAGTCTTAGCTCCCAGTGCTCTGCATTTGTTCCTGTATGTATGACGAACGTGAGACTTTCATTAGAAACTTCTCACAAAAGATCGTAGGATGTAGATGCAAGAACAGCGTAGACATCATAAGAACCACCATTTCTGCATCTCAAACTTATTCCTCCTTCAAAGTAATATGAGTCATAGCCTGGTCGTTTGTTTGAGCGAGGCTGGTCATATTCTCTTATCATCAGCAGGATGGAAACTTTTCAGCATCCCCATCAGCTTCAGTTGAAGCAGTTGAAGATTTTCGATCTCATTTTTTTAATCTTTTGAAACATCTCACGTGAGTGATCTGGTTTTAT